ATCACTCAACACGTCTATGTGTCCGGCAATCTCCTACATCACTCAACCTGTGAGGTTTCCGTAAGCAATCCTCACTCCACGCATCCATGCGTCACGCGTCTTTGGTAGCGCATACTATGGGGGCTATATTTGGGGTGGCGTGTTTTACAGCGCTTTGCCAACAGCGCCAACCCACTGAAGTCTAGATTGCGAAGGGTGGGCACCGGGGGGCGATAAAAAACCAAGATAGGAATGATTGAAAAAACGATCGCACTCCGGTGCCATCACACGCACTTTTACCGAAAGCCAAGCCCAGTCGTACTTCACGAAGGGGGGGGAGAGATACAGCACAGCGGCAGAGTCGCACCCAAAGCAGGCAAAAACAAGACAGCTTACAGGCAAAACATTGAGAGGGCAGGAGCAAAAAAAGACGGTCATGCTGAGGATACCGCTCAAGGCGCCGACGCTGGGGCTCCTGCAAATGTACGCAAGATTTTTTCGGGAAGATTTCGAGCTACAGGGGATATCTTCGTCTATTGAGCGCTCCTGCTGCTATGCCCGCCGTCAAAGGGCCTCTTCTTCAGGAGTAGCAGCAAGCAGCAGTGCCAGTCGAAGAAGAATCCCCCTGGCGGTGAGCAGGGTATCTCAGTCTAGGCCATACCACTAAATAGCGCTCGTGCGTAGGCTGGCTTTGCCTCACGAAGTGGTGATGGGGGGGTTTGGTCCGGAATTTTTCGAGCATGGAAGCTGCATCAATGAGCTTCAGATTGGGCTAGCGTTACGGAATGATCCTGCTCGCCAATAATGGTGTGCCGTTAAGAGTAGGATGTTGGATGGTCGGGAGATATACCTCTTAAGGGCATACCCCACATCATGACTACCTGCGTGCCCCCCGCGATTGAAGCGCATTTGGCCCAGACTTCCGGCTCCCGCCTGAAAACGCATACCATTCCTACACAATTGTGGATCAAGAGCATCAAGCTACCCATACAACTTTCAAGGAATGCCCGAGCCACTGCTAGACTTGTGCACCTTCATACGCATTTGTGCGCCGCTCCCATGCCGGGTATTGTCACATTTTCACCATAAATTGAGCTACGGGCTTGATCAAGGCAGCGAGAAAAACACAGCCATAATTGGGGGTTCTACATGAACTTTCGGGTCTCAACAGAGTCTGCCCCCGTGGTCAGCGTGCCACAGCAGTGCCTGTATCACAATAAGCAGCGGTAAACTTCATGACAATGAACCGCACGTCGAGGAGAAAGCGGAGAGATCGAACTTCGAACCTTCTTTGTCAACAGGTGTACTGCTGTTTGTTGTGCTGGTTCACTACTGTCCAACAAAGGGCTCCTTTGAATGATGCCCTCGACAAGCATATCGGCGAAAACCCACTCATCTGTCGAAGAGCTGAGATATATTTTTGTATGTCTCAGAATGAAAACATGTGATCTTCCCCACCCGAACTTTGAACCGAAATCTCTCTCGGTCTGTGTCTGTCTGCCTCTCTCTTCTCGGTACAGCAGTCATCACCGTAGTCAAATAGTGGACTCATGCGACCTTGAAAGATAAAGACACCGAGCCAGCTTTGGGAGTTGACGAGGTCTTGCAAAACGCGTCTGCTACATTAGTGTGGTTGGGAGGTCAGGGAGAGGTGGATGGGGCGACGGGAGTGAGGACAGATAATTCAAAAATTCAAAAGCAGCCGTTTATCCACTCGCTCTCCGCAAACACACAAAACACACCCACACCCACCCACGCACACACCTTTGCGATTGCCGTTCGAATGTCCTCCGTGAGCTCGAGCCCGCCGTAGATCCGGCGCGCCATCTCAAGGTTCTCCCACGCGAGCTCCAGATCCTCCTCCGCCTCCTGGTCCGGCGTAGACGCCTGGCCAGCGGCGCCCTCTCCATCCGCTCCGCCGTTTGCCCCCTCCCTTGCGGCACCGCCGCTCCCTGCTGCTGCCGCTGCTGCCGCCGCCTGGCCGTTGATCTGGGCCTCGACGATAGCCATGGCCCTCTTCTTCTGCTCGGCGTCGGTGATGGCGTCCCCGAAGACTGCCCCGGACTCCTCCGCGTTGTAGAGGAGGGAGTTGCCGTACTCGTAGTAGAGGGGGGCAAGTGACGGGCTCATTTCGTCGCCGCTCAGCACCTGGACTCTCGTCTCCAGCAGGCCGCTGAAGAAGTTCACGGCCTCCTCCAGGCGGCCGTCGTCGATCAGCTTGCGCCCAGCCTTGTACTGGGGGTCTGCTAGCGTCACCGCCACGGCAGAGTTGCTGGATTCCGTTGCCATGGCTGCTGCTGGGCGCCGGGTCGCGACGGTTATCACTTGGAAGCGCGAGGTCGCAGATTAAATACTGTTGCGCCCCCTGTAGGTGTTTACTGGTGTGTGACAACCTGCAGTGCGAGCCACCGGTGTCTTCACGGAAAATATGGGTGGTGGTGGTGGTGTGGGTTCTGGTCTCGAGTCTTGGTGCTGGCAATCAGGTAGTCCCGAGAGCACCGTCGTGTCGGCGGTGGAGCAATTCAAAAACAATAATATTCTGCGGAGCTCCCTCGGCGGATACAATCTGCGGTGCCTCTTCACGGAAACGAAAACGACTCTGCGTCTGTCTATCGTGAGCACACAACAACTCCATGCCACAGCACATCCCTGCTTCTTTCCGCTTCTTTCCCTTTCTCGATAAGAAGATTCTTCGCTCGCGCAGGCACGTAGGACCATCTGCTTCCAGTGACCATGTCGAAGAAAGGCAAAGTGAAGATGGGCCTGGGGGATTTCTTGGGCAAACAGGCCGCGGGAGCTGCGCAGCCTGTGAAGGGCCACATTCTGCCGTCAGGACCCGACCCCAACAGAGAGTGAGTCCACAATCAGGCAGAGCGAAAGGAGAGAAGCAGGTCGCTTGTTGCGACGACACAGAAACCCTCCCTGTGCTAGCTCGCGTACCCGTTGCTGCTTTGGCTGCCGCTGGATGCCTTTGCAAGAGACGTTTACTTTTTCAGAGCGCTGTGACCACACATCACCATCCATTTCAGGGCGATGGGGGGGAGTATGCGTACGTGTTCGAAAAAGTTCGAAAATATGCACTCCGTCACACGCACCTGCCCGTGTGTTCAATAGAGTCGAAGCATCAGCAGGCCACATGCTACGTATGCCAGCGATGCGCAACTTTTTGTCTCCATGCACCACGACGCATATGCCACCTTGGATGACATGAAGATGTCGGTATTATTTACGTCGGCACAACCGAACACTGGGATCAACGGCGCACAGAGTGGTGCAACCCCAGCGTGTTCATAGCCAGCAGGCTTCATCCCCCATTCGCTGAAAAGACTTCAACCCATCCCCTTCGGCTGCTGTGGTATTATCTCGAACGAGTAGTGTCTCGTTGAATGTGGTATCTATACTTCCTAGAAAGCTTGCTCTCCAAGCACGCTTGAAGCGTAGTACTCGAGTAATCGACGTCGTTTCCATGATTTTTTTGGACAGCCCTGACGAGCGCCGCGGCCCGGGAGGGAGGCGTTACGACGACGACGACGGCCCCGGCGCGCGCTCCGATGGCGCCGACCAGTGGAGGCGCGGGCCCGGCGGCGGTGGCGGCGGCGGTGGCGGCGGCGGTGGTTACGACCACGAGGGGGGAGGGGTGGCCCCTGAAGAGGGAACCTGGCGCGCGGCCCGCGGCGGCCCCCCTCCCCGATCCGGAGGCGGCGGCGGGTACGGCGACCGCGACGGCGGCCGAATGAGCGGCGGCGGCGGCATGGGAGGCGGGGGTTTCGACCGCCGTGATGGCGGCGGCGGGGGGCGCATGGGTGGCGGCGGGATGATGGGGGGTAGGGACGGCGGTTACGACAACCCCCCGGCGTCGAGCGAGGGCCGCCCGCGCCTGCAGCTGCAGAGCCGCAAGGCGCCCCCGCCGTTGCCGCCGATGGGTTCCAAGGAAGACAAGGAGGCGGCGGCGGCACCAGCCCCCGCTCCCAAGCCGGCCGGACCGAGAGCAAATCCGTTCGGGGGGGCGCAAGCGGTAGACACCACCCAGAGGGACAAGGAGATCGAGGCGAAGGCCGAAGCCGCGAGACAAACGTCCCTCCGCCGCAGGGACGAGACCGTTCGCTCAAGCAAGCCTACGGAGGTAGGCGGCGAGGACGAGGGCGCGGCTGCTGATGATGATGCCGCAGCGAGGGAAGATGCTTCTCCCGCTGCTGCGGCGACGGAGCACGGCACAACCGAGACGGTGGCCGACGCTGAGGGCGACGAGAGCGAGCCCGCCGTCGCCGCGCCGAAGGAAGGCGACACGGCGGGGGAGGGGGAGGGCAAGCCGAAGTCGGAGCCGACCAAGCCTGTCGGGCGATGGGCGGCCCTCCGAAGGGAGGGAGGGGGAGACGACAGGAACGCCGCGCCGGCCGCGGGGGGTTTCCCAAGGAGGGATCGCGATGACGACCGGAGAGGTGGCGGTGGCGGCGGGTTCGACAGCCGCGGGGGCGGTGGAGGACGCGACGGGGAACGGCCGTCTTTCGGGAGGAGAAACGAGGGTGACTCCGCTGGCGTGGGTGGCGGGTTCGGTGGTGGCAGGGGCATGGAGCGAGAGCCTTTCCAGCCCCCGGCGCCGCCCGCGGGCAACGCCTTCGCCAAGCGCTTCGGCTCTAACTTCGACCGCGACTCGGAGCGATCGTACCCGCGTCCGAACGCTGGAGGCATGGGTGGTGGTGGCGGTTTCGACCGCAGAGATGATGACCGACGTGGTGGAGGAATGGGCGGCGGCGGTGGCGGCGGATTCGACCGTCGAGATGATGATCGCCGCGATAGCGGCGGGGGCGGGGGNTGGAGGCATGGGTGGTGGTGGCGGTTTCGACCGCAGAGATGATGACCGACGTGGTGGAGGAATGGGCGGCGGCGGTGGCGGCGGATTCGACCGTCGAGATGATGATCGCCGCGATAGCGGCGGGAGCGGGGGAGGCTTTGACCGGCGTGTAGACGGCGGCGGCCGCATGGGGGGACGGGGGGGCTTCGACCGACCAGACGACCGGCGTAGCTGGGGCATGGGCGGGGGCGGTTACGACCGTAGGGACGAAGGTCGCGGGGGCGGCATGGGAATGGGCAGCTCTAGGTTCAGCAGGGACAGCCACGACGACGGGGGCGGAGAGGGAGCCTACCGTCGGCCGGGCGCCGGCTCCCCCGAGGCGCGGGCGAGCCCCCTATCCCGTCCGTCCGGTGGCGGCGGCGGCTTCAAAGGTGGTCGAGATTCGTCTACGTCGCCGACAGCGGCGTCCCTGTCCAAGATGTCAATCAAGGACCCCAAGAAGGAGGTAGCCGCCGCGGCGCTAGTGGAACCAAAACCCGAGCCTGAGCCAGTGTCGGAGCCGGAGCCGGAGCCGGAGCCGGAGGAACCGAAGGAAGACCCCGTCGAGGTCGCACGCGCGTCGGCGGCGGAGGCGCTGGCGAGCGGAAAGCGCGGCAAGGACCTCAAGGAGTTCGTGCTGGCGCAAGAGAAGCGAACGACCGCGGGCGCGCTGCTCGCCGCGGCCCTCGAGGGCACGGCGTCCCCCGAGGATATGAAGTGGATGGGGAAGGACGAGTTCGGGCCGGCGCTCTCGGCGCTGTCGACGGGCAAGGACAGCACGCAGCAGCAGATGGGCATGATCTACGCGGTCGTGGCCAAGTGCCACGAGCTGGGGTTCCCGAAGATCGGTGGCGCCGCGGTCGTGCAGACCGTCTTCATGGGCATGTACAACGACGACCTCTGCGAGGAGGAGGCCTTCATCGAGTGGAAGGTACTACGTCTTCTTTTCTATTCTTGCAACAAGAAGTCATCTCTATTCATCCGCAGATAGAGATCCACGATGAAATAGGTTATTGATTGAATGCAAGTCGTGCTTAGTAACATACTTCGAAGTAAAGTATTTTACTTCCCTCTGTTCGTGCTGTTCTGTTCTTTTCTTTGGTCTTCCGGAAGCCAGGAATAGACCTTCGCCACCACAACGTGTAAATCGAGCGCGTTGATGAGGCGCAAACCAAGAATTGAGTACTTATGCACATGTCTACTTTCAACACGCTCGAGTGATCCTTTCCGGAGTGTTGTGTTGCGGCAGTCTTGGCAATCCGTCCTGCCGGCGATCTTTGTTCAACCCTCACGCACTGCCGTGTTTGCTTTGAAGGGTTATAGGCATGTTGCAATCGTGCGAAACCGTGCTTGTATCTGATTGTGGTTCGGCCCGTTCTTGCAGCAAGAGCACTCGGCAAGCATGGTCCTGAGATGCGTAGAATGCAAACTACCCAGCTCTGATCTTCGGGTTCACTGACGGGAGTGTTTTCAATACGCCCAGCATTGAGCGCTTATTCTGATCTGCCCGTGCCAAACCAACGCTCCTCCTACTCTTATGTGTGTCGTTTCTGTGTCGTGTTTTCTCGGCCTTGCAGAACGACGTGGACAGCACTGCCGAGGGTCGCACGAAGGCCGTGATGCAGACCACGCCATGGTTCGTTTGGCTAGAGTCTGTGGAAGAGGAGGAGGACGAAGACGAAGAATAATGAGGGTAAATCGCTAGCTTGCACCGGATTTTCGCGAAGGCGTAACGCCTGCTTGGTCGACGAGATCTCGAAAGTGCACTTTGCCGGGAGTGATTTTTGTGTGTGTTTTTGGAAACCAACGTCGTCGTAGTCGTGGGAATTGTCTGACGTGGTGGATGACTGCAAACGCCGTTCAGTAGGGCGAATCTCCGAGATACTTTTGTTTCGTTCTCTTGAGAACAGGGGAGACGATGCGTGTGTACCAGTAATCTGAGACTGACTGAAGCAGCTCCAATGATTGTTGCCGGGATTTCGGTCGAGTTTGTTGTCTCCCTCTCGGAGCTCGTGTTTTGTGACTTTATGTTTGTTCATTGCTCGTCTTTCGTAAGACGCATCTTATTGTTTGGGGTGTCTTGGAGAGGGTGGCCGGGGGGGTTGGGGGGGGGGCAACCTAGTTAGTTAGCTAGGGTGCGAGCGAGCCTCAAACGTGTCGTCTTGGCGTTTGGGCTGTTAGGGCAACACCTCGAACAGCGCAAGGCGGTGATTATTCTAAGAACGCGGACTCCACGCGGGACGGGGATAGGGGTCAACTCGTAGTCCTCTCACGTGTTGCGGTCGCTAGACTTCTGGACTCGATGTCGATCAGCAACGACAGTTTTTTTTTCTTCTGATTTCCGCAAGAGGTAAGGGTCCATTTCCGCGGGCATGTTTTTTCGGTTGGTTGGTTTCGTTTTTTTTTTTGTGTGTTGTGTGTGCGGTAAGAACGTATGGGGGTGACTACTGCTGTAGTTTGCGGTGGTGGCGTTGGCGACTGCCGCCGGTTCAAAACGACGTCGAAATGGCGCCTCTTTCCACTCACTTGCTCGTAGAGGTGGCTCTTCACAACACGTTATTTTTCGTGGGTTTGCATGACGCGTGGGCCGGTGCACTAAATACTTTTGACTCTTGATTTAAGCAATAAGCAACACTGAAGAGTTCCCAGCCGCTGCGTCTGCATGTCCTTGTTCGATTTTCGTGGTTTTCAGTTGATGCGGTCTTGGCGTGTCGAGGCAGGAGAGTCTTACGATAGATGAACAAACGGGTCAGGGTATTGCCCGGACGACGTAATGTAGTGGTTAATGGTTGCTGGTTGGTGCTGCGGAGGGGGAGCAAGATTGGTCGAGCAATTCGCGCGTGATTTGAATGGCGGGGGACTGGTTGTCGGCGATTGAGCCCTCGGTATTTACATGGTGGGACGCCACGAGCAGCGGTGCTGGTCGCCGCGCGGCGCCGGTGGCGTGAGGAGGAGCAGCTCAATATTAGATGCTTGAGTTGTGCGCAGATAGATGCCCGCAAAGGCCTGCCTTGCCCACTTGACGCCATGGAATAATGAATGGTGTTTAGTTACATATTCGTTCATTAGGCCGCGACGATACGTAACGCTGTGCGTGTGGTAAGCAATCCTACACATGAATGAAACATGGGTTACACTCTACCTTTGCTGTTTATTGGTGCCCTAGATTGAATCTCTGCCCGACCCAGTCAAGTACTGGCGACCATGGTCGTGGTGGCTGGGCCAGCAGTATCATTTTTTTTTCCGTGTGGCTAATCATGTTGGCGCCGGATTACAGCAGCAAGACCAACAGTCGTGCGAAAAATCCGGGGAATTGTCACAATGGGGTTATAAACCCTTTTCTTTCAGGGACGCCGCCTCGCAGTACTGTAGAAGCGTGCGCCATACATCGGCTACACCTCGTACTCTTACATCTTTCACACCGGTAAGAAGATGAAATTTGAAATGCGCGTGTTTGGGGACTGATGCGCGGCAGAGCGAGGGGGAGGTGGGGGCAACTACCTTCGCCACTAAGTGAACACATAACTTAGACGATTACAGGAGAGACAAGAATACCTGTTAGCAGCTTCGCCATGTAGACTACAGTAGGGGGCCCTCTATAGTGCCGGTATGTGTTCAGAGAGCAAAGCGGCACTATACCGGGCACCGGCACTATTCAGAGTACAGAAACACTTGATATTCCGGCGTGTGCGAGCCGAAAACACCGGCACTATACCGGCAACCGGCACTATATCGGGCCACCCACTGTATGTACTAACCAACACTTTGAATAAATATCTGTAGTCTATGAGCAATTTTTGTGCAACACTCGGCACTCATGTAGACTACTGTACGTTAGTGGTGCTTTGCCACTCCTCATCTAGCCATTACAGGACCAAAGCGCGGTGTGCTTCATGCGTTCGTCCAAAAGAGGCACGCAACGGAGCACACCTCTCTCCGCCCTGCTGTAATGGTGAGACGAAAAGCGCGTAGAAACACAGAGCAAGGGCTCGGTCGGGGGCTCGCGACTGGGAATGACCAATAATATGTACACACCCTCAAGTTGTTGCCGACAGCGGGCAATTCAGGGCAGGACCGTATGACACGACGCACCAGCAGATTATTGTCAACCTCCCGTGGCATGGGAAACAGTTCATCCTCTCCATCGAGGCCCTCCGAGAGGAGTAGTCGTGGAGGTAATAACGCGAGCCCCCTTCCGCGCGGCGGTGAGCGACAGCGCAACGGCGTAGAAAGGACCACCCGCAGCAACGCTGGCGGCGGCGGCAGCAGCAGCAGCAGCGCAGTCTTCGATAGTGTCGGCATCGACCAAGACGATGCGCACGCGAGGGATAACACGGACCGGCACGCGGAAATCAGTAGGACCCAGCAGCAGGAGATGTCGTGGTACCAGATGGCGAAGGTGAGCGTTGTGCAGAAAACGCTTCGACCGAGAGACGGCTGCTGGTGAACCTACTACTGATATTTTGTGATGGCGAAACCAAATAATTAGCTCGAGAAGTGTACAGCAGTAGCTTCGTCGGAATGATGTCCTCTCCATGCACCACGGACCACGGACCCGATCAAATCAACGTAGCACACCGGCGGCCATATATCCTTCGCTTAGGTAGCTCAAGAGCGGGAGACAGGAGGACATACACACTTGCAGCGAGCTCCTCGTCGTGTTGTTGTCACCTATCCACTCGTAGAAATTGGAGTATTCGTCCAGGAAATTTCCTTCCGCCCGCCCGCTCTCAGAATGAAAGACGGAGGCTCCGTCCATCGTCCCATGCACTCGTTGGTCTTTTTTTCGTCGCCCGCTATAATAGGTCCTCCTCGCGCTTGTTGCGTACTCCTGTTCGAGGCGGATAAGTGAACCTCCATGTTTGCGAGATGGAAATAACGGACAGCCAGTGAGCGTTGAGGCCGGACCATGCCTGCGCTCCTTTGTTTTTTGAAAGTTTTCAAACACAAAGCAGAGAAGACACTCCTGTTGATAAGACTGCTGCCGGAGCCACAACAGGCGATGTGTTGAAGTCTTCACAGCAGTGAGAGACAAATACCACTGCTGCTGTATTGCCTATGCATAGCCTTAAATGTTACTCAAGTCTCGCCCCATCCCCTAGAAACCATGTGAGCTTGTAAGCACGGGAGGTTGCAACGCATCCTGGCCTGTAAACAGCAGTACGAAAGTCCCATGAATGCATCGCTTCTTGCAGGAGGAAATGTCGCTTTTCGCCGAAACAGCAAACTGCACACACACACACAAGGGAAGGCGGGAAAATCCAGTGAAGATGGAAACCCTGACGTGGAACATCAACCACCGTCTACCAACAGCCGAAATGAATTTGGTCAACACTACCAAGTCTTTGGAGCCCAAGCTCTCCTTTCGAAACCTTTCATGCAGCAGTGCGTCACATTGTGGAGACAGACTTGCAGAAGTTAGCAGGCGAGGAAATGTCAAAGGAGAGGGCATTGATCCGCTTGGAGGAAGCCAAAGGCAAGGGAGTTTTGTCGTTGTTGACAGCGCAAGGGTTGTCAGCAGATGAAAGAATGCTGCCTGATCTATATCGAGAGTCAATCGGTCGTGTACTGGGGAGTCACGATCGAGCAGACTGCAACACAGGCAAACTTTGTGGTGCAGGTGCATTGTTACCATGCAAGGACCGCTTGAGCCGAGCCCACTCCCTCGTCTGCACCAAGACCGGCGCCTCAACCTTCCTCCATAACAGGATGGTTCGAGTGGTCCTCAAGACACTGCGCGAGTGCCATATGCCCATCGCCGTTGAGGATTCTTCCCCTTGTACCACAGGCACTGGTAGGGGAAAGGGGCTATACAAGATGGATTTGGTAACCCCCCGAGGATTACACGCAGGAGTAGAGAAGGAAGAGGAACTCTGCACCAAGTGCATTTCTATAGACGTAACAATCGTCAACCCATCTGCAGGTCGAAGCATCGACAAGTCGATGCACAAGCCAGTATCCGCCCTCGAAGATCGAGCTGCAAGTATGCAAATCACTATGCGGGATCTTTCAACCCGGCTAGATCTACCCTCCTTAGTGCTGCTTTTTCAACGAATGGTGGTCTTGGCAAAGGCACCAATCGACTCATCGTTGCTATCGCTAACCACTCGGCGCACAAAGCTTTTTGCTGGGGGAATATTGACGACGAAAGAGCCTTAGTTCGCCTGAAAGCTTCTCATACTATCAGGATTCGGAGACGGTTTACCTTCGAGCTAGCTCGTTTTCTGTCTATGCGAACTCACGATGTGTTCAAACGTTATGGGCTACTGATCGACCAACTTCTACCAGGGCCAATCGGTTGGGATCTCTGCGACAACAATAGTGATGAGGGTCATTCTTTTGGGAGTGACGGAGACAAAGGAAAGGGAAAGGGAAGAAAGGAGGACGAAGACGACGATGGAGAAGTGGAAGAAAGCAAAGGGTTTGAGCCAGATGACCTTACCCNCACGATGTGTTCAAACGTTATGGGCTACTGATCGACCAACTTCTACCAGGGCCAATCGGTTGGGATCTCTGCGACAACAATAGTGATGAGGGTCATTCTTTTGGGAGTGACGGAGACAAAGGAAAGGGAAAGGGAAGAAAGGAGGACGAAGACGACGATGGAGAAGTGGAAGAAAGCAAAGGGTTTGAGCCAGATGACCTTACCCAAAAGAAAAAACGTAGGGCTAGAGAAGGACTGCCCAGAGATTCTTGTCAAAACGAGGATCAGCATGATGGTAGCGAAAACAAGGAAGATAATGGTGAAAGTACTCCTAAACGAGCTCGAGTACAAGGTAGTAGCCTTGGTAGACGCGTGCAGATTTCTTCTGTTGCTGCTGTGTGTGTCTTCGATCCGAAGGATAGTTTAGCCTCCCCCATGCTGCCCCCTCACAGGGTCCCAGTTCATGGCAGATAGAAGTGTTTTGTGTTTTCAACCGCACTAAGACTGACGTCTTTTCATTGGTCAGCCGATTAGCGCGGTCGATGCTAATAAAAAACATACACACGTGATATGCATATCTGTTCACTACACCAATACACCAACTACCCGAACGCCCAACCTTTACCACAGCAGTGAACCTTTCATGTTCTACCGCAGTACGCCCTCCCAGCACACATGCAATGCATGTCAGCCCAGTTGATGGCAACCAGGCTGTCCTGGTGGGTAGTGCATGTTTCCCATACGGAAGATAGCACGTTGTGCTGTTCATACTACAGTTCCCAATAACAGGTAGGTCACACTACACTACAGTAGTACACACAGCACATGAGTTCGTAAGATTTTGATCATTTTTCCTGGACGCTTACCCGTGGATCGAGATGAAAACCGGCATGACTCTCCGTGAGCAGAAAATCGCACCTGATCAAACGGTAACGTACTGTAGTGTCCTCTCGTGGGTAACTTCCAGTTGGTGCTGGTGGACGTGCCGAGCAGTGTTTTCGAAATGCACACATACTGGCGAACGAATATTTTGTCGAGTGGTAGGTATCACACCCCGAGCACACCTGATACCTGATTCCCGTGAGACGCAATGGACTCGGCAGCGTGGGCCGCAGTACAAGATGCCTCGTGTGAAGAATCGTCTACATATGCATGCGATTTGGAGATACTTGCACGGAAAAACGGTCGAACGGGGTTAGAGAAAAAAAGAACAAGAGGTGATCTGGGTGACGAAGTAACAAGAGGTAATCTGGGTAACAAAATATGAAGCATCCCCCCCTATAGGCGAAAGTGCGGGGAGAACGGGTGTGTTGAACAAGCAAGCCTCCAAGTCACCGCCTGAACTCCAGCCCCCACACCGCACCACTCCCCAAATATCGTGCTTCCTGTGCGGGACATGCGTGTGTGGCTTTGTTGTGGGAAGAGGGGACGTGGTGCCCGGTTTTTCCCCGCTGCCTACATCGGAAAGTCATTTCAGCTTTCGAGGGCGACGGGTAGAGCAGCAAGACATGAGCGAGTGTGCCAACTCCTTGCGTTCGCCACACGGGGCTTGTCATGACCGAGAGTTTAATTGGAGGTTTGCTGTTGTGGGGCCCGGCCCCGAATGTGGTAGCGCAACACAAGTTGGGCCTGGCGGACATGGACGGCACCAATCCGAGTACCGGTTCTACCTAAAACACGCCGTCTTTACTCTGGCAACAAGCGGCGTTAGCACCACAACCCAAGTGGTCGTGTCCAGCTCTTGGCGACTCGCAAGCAACCAACGCCCTCTTTTTGTTTTGTACTCGGGATACCCTCCGTCTTAGACCAGAGTGCCCACCTCGAGCAGAACCGTTGACGCAATTGCTTCTCCCTCGGACGTTGTTGCGTACTGCTGGCTCTCGTCAGCGCCCCAACGCATATATGTAGAGTTTTTATGCAATGCTTTTTCTTGGAACAACGACAAGCCGGACCCGAGTTTACCCTCTTGTATAAAATTGCATGGTATTTTGGCGGGGGCCCGTTGTAGTATTCCTGACCTCGCCCTTTGGGTCATCGTCTAACTCTTTGGGCCCGATACGAAACGATACTCAGGCGGGTTATCAAGAGCTAGTGAACGCCATCATCCGACCCCCGAGAGCGAGATACGAAGTCGAGGCGCTCGGCCCGGTGGAGTTCGAGTTCGTGGGGAAGGCGTTCAAGCGCCTGGACTTCAGGCTTCTCAACGATCGAGGGCACGTGCTTGAGTGCAGGTGAGCGTGCGTGTGTCGTACCACGGTGTGTGTCAGATGCTCGCGGGTCAGGGAAGTGTTCATCTTTTTTAGCGTCGACCAATTATTTTTGGACTGCTCCCGGTCCCTTCGCGCGAATAGTCAGGGTATTCGACATATTCACTGGTGTCTTCCAAACATGGATGGTTTGTTGGTGGGTGATGTCAAGGGTGGACGCGTTTCTGACGTGCTCGTGCAGCGTTGCTGTTCTTTGTCTTTTTTAGAGCAATCGTGGGCGTGTTCTCATTGGTCGGGATAGGGGGGGTAAGGGGCGGGCATGCGATGCCCGGTGCCCTCCTCCAGTGATCATTTCGAAGCCAATGCTCTCCGGGGCTGCTTTGTTGTTGTGCATATCCGGCATCCAGCTTGAAAGTATACCATATGATCGAACTTCAGGGGAGGGGAACTGAGAGATCCGCCAACAACTGACTCCAAGGCTGACCCCCCCCCCCCCCCCCCCCCCCCCCCCCCCCCCCCCCCCCCCCCCCCCCCCCCCC